TGTTGTGAACTGCATTTTACGCATTTTGGGCAGTCGGAGGATTCCAAAGGGAAGTAAAAAGAAGAAACAATGCACGGAAAGGTGGAAATATTGTATCAAAGACTTTTTGAAGGAGCTACCTTTACCTTTGAGGAGAATRTTGCGAGTTGCAAAAGCGCAATTTGAAACAAGTGCAGCAACAACTCCTTGGATGTTGAACTTGCTATCCACTGCCACAAATAAACACGTCCCTRARGACATCATCAGAAGAGAAAGTAGAAGAGAACAGTTCAAATTTTCATATTTTCGTTGATTAAGAAACAGCAAAAGTACAAAAGTGAAAATTGGTTCACACGCTTTGATCATTTGCGTAGTGCTGGAGCTGATCGCTGCGTAAGATGCGTTTGTAGCCATATGTCCAAACATGTGCCCAAATAATGCCATCTTCGGTACATCAGAATCATATATTGAAAATGACGGTGTCTTTATTCCGTAGCAATGGAGCTTTATCCATGTGAAGGTAATAACCGCGCTAAGCGCAAATTGGATAAATGTTAAGTCTATCCATTTCATGTTTCTTAATGATTTGGTGTCTGTGTCTGCTTTATCTTTGGCTTGTTCATCAAGCATAAAACGTTTGGAGGCAAGAGAGGTAACAGTGTTAGAGATCCACCATATTAACACCAAAGATATTAACAATAGGCTTGTATTCTATGAAAAAGAAAGAGTAAAGTTCAGCGATTTAGGAGCCTTTTATGTTATAAGTAAATAATCCAGTTTCGAATTCTCCAATGCTCTGTGTTAGCCTAGCTCATTKTGCRAAAAATGGTYCCATTGTGAGAATAAAAGTGTGAGATTTCAAATCAATTCTATTGTCTTTCTTGTCAAATTCCATGCGTTTCCTCAAGCTATCAATGAAGCAAAAATTGTTTGGTTTTGAGGCTAACACAGAGMAARCCAGAACGTCGAAATTGGAGTATTAATCGCACAAAGATAAAGGACTATACATACTTCCTATAGTCTAGCTATATCTAGCATATGCACCACCAGGCAAGAAAATTGGGAAAAAAGACCATTGACTACATTCGGTTCAAATAATTTTCAATTCCGAGATTTGTTAAAAGAGGGTCCAGTGCTGAACTACAATGCACAACTTGACCAGACAAAAAACGCCGGGCAAAACTGAGTGCGCACTGATTTGCCAAAATGTGGTGTGGCTCAGCCTAGGAGCTACCATAACATAATTATTCTTAACCCTATTACATGTAAACGAGCCTGTTGTGAAATGCGTGCCGAAGCAGGACGCTAGGTACTGGATGATAGATGGAATATGTTTTTTTACTTCTTTGATAGATACGAGAAGTGAAAAGCGATACTTTATCGCCAAAAAAGGAGCACAGTTGAATTGCTACCTTGATTTGTTTCACTTCCATTGTGCAGCGTTCTAACTTTAGTGATGAAGAAATGTAATCTGAAAAAAAAGAAAAAGAAAAGTACTGTGAAGTAACTGGACATAACATTAAGCTAATGTTTTTTATCAAAAACAGGAAAATCCCATACTTTGACCGTTAAATCATTCAAATTCACCTTGCTTAAGTTACCAGTGTTCGAACGTGTGACCGCCGGTCACTACCTCCACAAAACTATATTATGCCCTTCAGTCTGAATTTCTTGTGAACGAATCAATGAAACAGCTTTCGAAGACCTGACTAGAGTGTTTCTATTTATATAGGTAATAGCATGTTTTGTAGTACAAAACATGCCACATTATTGTTTATAAAATGGTTGAATAATTTGCTGTGCAATAATGGTAATAAATAATGGTTGTGCCAATCAAACTGCATAATTTTATCCACCCATATTATAACTAGTTGTATGTATTGAACTTTTCTTAACATTCCACTTACAAGCGGGAATTAGCCACGAATTTATTATAGGAAAGAGGCTATTCCCGCCTATACTGGAATTTTAAGAATAGTCAATAGATATAAGAATTTGAAAATAGTGCATTTTTCATGTAACAATCATTTGGAATTGGAGTATTTAGATAAGACTTTCTAGATGTTATCCAACTTCAAATTGTTATTTCGACACCATCTCGATCCGGTAAATAGTTCATAGAATTTGTATCTGAATCAGGAATAGTATGGTCTCTTGAAATGCTTTTAGATGCCACTTCATCCCAACTGAAGGAGAAGACACTGGGGACKAGTTTGAACAGCCAGAGAAGACTGGGGATGATCAAAATGGCCGCCCCAGTAAATCCTGAGTCTAGCGAGGCCATCCCACCCATTTCATTGCCGGATCCAGGATTTTTCAAAGGGGGGTTCCTCTTTGGTTTCGTATTTTTCTAAAACGAACTTTTTTACTGTGCCTCTCAAACTGTAGCAAATGTAGTGTGAATGTTTTGAATAAAAATTCATTGTACGATGCGTTTTCATTTTAATTATTTCATTTATCATTTATTTTATTTATTTTTTTTATGCTTGAGGGGGGTTCCTAGGAACCCATGGAACCCCCTGGATCCGCCACTGCATTTGTTTTTGTTTAGCTTTTTGTTTCTCACTCGCATCGCTCATTCGCAGAAGTACATAACCAGAAGTGTCCATCTCCGCATTGGTATCGCCACCATCAGATGTCCCGATAATCTATTTTTAGACAACCAATCACAAACGCGCGCACATATTACACGGTACCTGATTGGTCCTTGTTGATCTACTTCAAGAGCGGACAAGAAAGGAAAATTATGTAGTCGATGGAGGCGAAAGAATTGAAGTTCGCATTTACGAGAATTTTACACCTTTTGATGAGCAACCATTTTTAAATTCTATAGAAAACATACTTTACTATATGATCAATGTAGCGAAGGAAGTTCAAGAGCAATATGGTCTGCGAAAACAAGGGAAAAGTTCAGACAAAGATGAAGAAAAATGTAAAACAGCGTGCGAAAAATAGTCTAAAGTAGCTTTCTTACTTTCTTACTTTCTTACTCTTCACTGTGTAAGGAGTTGAAAAATAATTGTTCTTTGAAAGAAAAAGTGAGGAATAAACAAACTAGCGAATAGGTACAGAGGGTAATAACGAAAACCAAACAATAAAAGCCACAAACAAGAAAAGTCATCAAAGAAATATCGATAGCTAACTTGAATTTCAAAAAAAAAACCCGCCTACCTGAAAATTTACAGCTTTTCCATCTCACCTTAAAAGTCGAAAATTACTTTACCTTTGGCTTTGTTTAAGTCCAGCTCTATATGACTGTATTAAGGAAGCTACTTTACACCTTTTCTTAGCACGCTGTTTTACATTTTTCTTCATCTTTGTCTGAACTTTTCCCTAGTTTTTGCAGACCATATTGCTCTTGAAATACTTTTGCTACATTGATCATATAGTAAAGTATGTTTTCTATAGAATTCAAAAATGATTGTTCAGCAAAAGGTGTAAAATTCTCGTAAATGCGAACTTCAATTCGTACGCCTCCATCGACTATATAATTTTCCCTGCCTTTCTTGTCCGCTCTTGAAGTAGATCAACAAGGACCAATCAGGTGCCGTGTAATATGTGCGCGCGTTGTGATTTGTTGTCTAAAAATAGATTATCGGGACATCTGATGGTGGCGATACCAATGCGGAGATGGACACTTCTGGTTATGTACTTCTG